TGCCCTCGCCGACGTGGAGGCGGAAGGGCCGGCGCGCCCCCATTGGCTGCGCCGCTGCCAATCGCAGCGCGACGCCCCGCCCCGCGCGCCATTCCACAGCCGCATTGGACGAGCGCGGTTTAGACACTGGCCAATCAGCGCAAGGCAATGCCGAGGGGAGCGGAGCAAGGGAGAGGATTCCCCGCCCGCGCCTGCTGATTGGAGCAGGGCCGTGTCCGTCACCGCCACTGTTCCCATGGAGACCGGGAGAGCGTCGACATAGGCTCGCCAGCCGTGAGCTGTGATTGGCCGAAGCGCTTCCGCCTCCGTCGTAGCCACACCTCCAACGGGGTCATGACCTGGGGTGGGACAAGGCGGGATCCTTAAGATACATAATCCACCAATGGGAAAAAAGGGGCGGGGCAAAGAGCGGGACAGCCAATGACAGCGCGCGAGCTCACGCGAACAGGCGGGAGGCCAGGAGCGGAAGACGCAAACGGCCACACCCTGACCGCTAACCACGCCCCCAGCGCCGCCCCGCCCCCTGCAGTGGCCACGCCCCAGGACTCCTAACGCCCACGCGCAGGTGGGCGGAGTCACGTGGCGGGCGACCCAGACCCCTCCCCCAGCGCCTGGACACGCCCCCTCCGCCTGGGGGCGGGACTAACGAGGCCCGCAGTGCTCCCCCGGGGTCCCCCCCAGCACCCCGGGCCTCCCCCCGGCGCCCCTCCGTGCCCCCCCCCACCTGGCGACGGCGGGACCCGCCCCCTACGGTAGCCGAGGTGGAGGGGAAAGCTCGGGCGCTTCCGCCCTTGCGGCCGGTGCTGGCGGAAGTCAGGGCAGTGGCGCCGGGCGGAAGCGGAAGCGCGGCGGCCGCCGCTGGGAGCGGGCACCATGGAGGTGAGAGGCGGGAGCGCGGGCGCCGCGAGCGCCGCTCCGGTGCGACCCGGTGCGACCCGGTCCCCCCCTCCCTGCGCGTCCGCAGGGTGCCGGGCCGGCCGCGGAGAGCCCGGCGGAGCAGGGCCCGGCGGCGCCCCAAGGTGAGACCGGCCGGCGGCGGAGCGGAGCGGAGCGGAGCCCCCAGGCCCGGGGGGGGCCCCCGTGGGACGAGCTGCCCCGGGGGCTCCCGGGGCCCCGGCGCTGCGGTGTCCGCACCCCTCCGGCTTCGGGGTGTCTGTGCATTTGGGGTGTCCCCCGGCGCCGCTGTGGGGTGTCCCGGGGCTTGCGGCGCTCTAGGCCCCCCCCGGTCGACGTGTTCGATGACCCGGGAGTGCCGCAGGCTTGGGGTGTCCTGTGCTTCCGGGGTGTCCGGGAGTTCCTCTGCCGTTGGGGGGCTCTGGATGCCCCGGTTTGGGTTGTCTGGTGGCCTGGGCACGCTTCAGGTTTCGGGTGTCTGTGGAGTTGGGGTCTCCTGGGGCTTGGGAGGCTCCAGACGCCTTGATTTGGGGTGTCCAGTGGCCTGGGGGGGTCACAGGCTTGGGGTGTCCCCGTGGATTTGGGTTCTCCATGGAATTGGGGTGTTCCAGAGCCTTTTTTGGAGTGTTCCGATGCTTGGGGGCGGCTCTAGACTCCCCAATTTGGGGTCGTTGAGTGATTTGGGAACCGCTCAGATTTGGGGTGCCCTGTGGCTTTGGGGTGTCCTGGGGCTGTGGGGTATCCGGTGTCCGGGGAACCCCTCAGATCTGGGGTGTCCGGTGGAGCCGG